TTTCGTGTTGCATGACAGGAAAGTACTTTCTCTTACAGAAAAGCTTTAAAAACTGCTAGATCTGATTACTTTTCGTCTCTTTTAGAAGAAAACACAACCCCAAGTATTCAATACAGTGGCTAAATCAACAAAAAAATATAACATCAACACGTGCAGACATTTCCCAACAGCACAGTAGTAATGATTTTATGAACTACTTTACTTCCAAGATCGATACAATTAGAGATAAAATTGTAAGCATACAGCTGTCAGCCACAGTATTGCATCAGATCACCCCTCATTTTCTTCTATAGGAAAGGAAGAATTGTATACATTTATTAAATAATTTAAACCAACAACATGTATGTTAGACCCTATTCCATCTAAGCTACTGAAAGAGGTGCTTCCAGAAGTCATAGATCCTCTTCTGACTATTATTAATTCATCATTGGTATTAGGATATGTCCCAAAAACCTTTAAACTGGCTGTTATTAAGCCTCTCATTAAAAAAACACAACTTGACCCCAACAAATTAATGAATTACACACCTATCTTGAATCTCCCTTTTCTGTTAAAGATACTAGAAAAGATAGTATCATCACAACTATGTTCATTTTTTAGAGAAAATGGTATCTGTGAGGATTTCCAGTCAGGATTTAGACAGTATCATAATACTGAGACTGCTCTAATTAGAGTTACAAATGACCTCCTTTTATCATCCGATTGTGGGAGTATCTCTCTACTAGTGCTACTGGATCTTAGCGCGGCATTTGACACTATCGAACACAACATTCTTTTGAATAGACTAGAAAATTATGTTGGCATTAGAGGAAGTGCATTGGCATGGTTCAAATCGTACTTATCTGACCACCATCAATTCGTAGCAGTGAATGAAGAGGTATCATATCGATCACAAGTGCAGTATGGAGTACCTCAAGGCTCAGTACTAGGGCCGTTACTTTTCACGGTTTACATGTTACTCTTGGGAGATATTATTAGGAAACATGGTGTTAGCTTTCACTGTTATGCTGATGATACTCAGCTCTATATTTCTTTGTGGCCCAACGAAACATACCAATTTGCAAAACTCATGGAATGCATAGTTGATATAAAAAACTGGATGACTAGTAATTTCTTATTGTTAAATTCTGGAAAAAAAAAAAAAACACAGAGGTGTTAATTATCGGACCAAAAACCTCCACATGTAATGACCTAGACCACTGTCTAATACTTGATGACTGCTCTGTAAATTCTTCATCATCAGTTAGGAATCTAGGTGTGCTATTTGATAGCAATCTTTCCTTCGAAAGCCACGTTTCTAGCATTTGTAAAACTGCATTTTTCCATCTCAAAAACATATCTAAATTACGACCTATGCTCTTAATGCCAAATGCAGAAATGTTAATTCATACATTAATGACCTCAATGTTAGATTATTGTAATGCTCTATTGGGTGTTTGCTCTGAGCGCTTAATAAACAAACTCCAGCTGGTCCAAAATGCATCAGCTAGAGTTCTTACTAGAACCAGGAAGTATGACCATATTAGCCCGGTTCTGTCAACACTGCACTGGCTCCCTATTAAACATCGTATAGATTTTAAAATCTTGCTAATTACCTATAAAGCCCTGAATGGTTTAGCACCTCAGTATTTGAGCAAGCTCTTATTGCATTATAGTCCTTCATGTCTGCTACGATCTCAAAACTCTGGCCATTTGATAATACCTAGAATATCAAAATCAACTGCGGGCGGCAGATCCTTCATGTTCCATGAAGATATTTTATATTTATGTAATTTATCTAATCAAAATAAAAAAATTAATTGGCAAAATAAAATCCATATTTGCCTATTTGAAATATGTTTCTTATATATAAGAGAGCAGGCAGATCTGTAATCAAATCAGATCAATGTATTGTACTACAGTGTGTAAAAATCTATAGTGTGTGCATGGACTATCCACACCGCAGTGCAGTCAGGCTGCATACAATACACACAATACACAGAATACTGAACACAGTATACACATTATACATACTGTACACAGTATTTACAGTATACACAAAATTATTTACTGATGATGGGATGCAAAGGCAGGGATATGCAAATTGAGTAGAACGACAGAACGATAATTAATGCTCTTTTTGCAGTGAGAAGGACGTTTTGAGTTCAGAAATTTACAGTCTGTTGTTAGAATACATTAAATTCTTATGTCAAAATATCAATGACAATTGATTCCCCATAATTTAATATCTGATATCTAACGTAAAGCATTTAATATATAAAGTAATCATAATAAATAATAGTATAATAATAATAATAAATAATGATAAAAAGTTGGTGATATTAAAAGAAAATTCATGACTTTTAGCAGCTATTTTGGGAGAAACTGCACTCGCTATATTTAGATTTTAGATTAAATAAGACCTTCTGTGATCAGTGGTGCAGTTTTGTCTCTGTATGGACTGTCATATGTCTTGTTATGTTACTCAGATGTTTGAAGGTCCTTCCACACTGAGAGCAGACGTAAGGGTTTTCTTGGGTGTGGATTCTTGTGTGCGTCTTCAGATGCTCTTTCCGAGTGAAGCTCTTTGGACACCGGGGACAGGTGTGAGGCCGCTCTCCGGTGTGAATCCTTCTGTGTCTCTTCAGGTCACTTTTATGAGTGAATCTGTTCCCACACTGCGGGCAGGTGAACGGACTCGCTCCGGTGTGAATGCCTATGTGATCACTCAGGCTTCTTTTATAGGTGAAGCTCATCCCGCACTGATGGCACGTGAAGGGTTTCTCTCCGGTGTGAATCCGTACGTGATCCTTAAGGTTTCCTTTCTGTGTGAAGCTCTTTCCGCACTGTTGGCAGGTGAACGGCTTCTCTCCAGTGTGAGTCCTTATGTGAGCCGTGAGGTGACTCGTTTGCGTGAAACTCTTTCCACACTGAGGGCAGGTGAGAGAGGTTTTGGATCTTCTGTTTCGTGACAAACTCTTTACCGTCTGTGAGCCATTTAAAGACTCGTGTCCGCTTCTCTGATACTGAGGTTCCTCTTTCACCTCCATCAGCTCTGAAATGAACATGCAGACAAACATTAATCAAAAGGGACAAAACCAATTATGCAGCAGTTCAGACGGGCATTAATGGGCAGCTTATATTTTAACAACAAATTGGAGTGGAATCATAATTATACCATTCAAAAGTTGATATAAAAACTTAATTATTAAATGAACTGAAATATGAATATTAAAGTTATTTATTCAATGTAAGTTTTCACCAAACATTTAACCATGTTTTGATGCACAGCATTTTCTTTGACGTGTATACCTGTACGTATGTATGCACATACACACACACACACACACACACACTCACTCGCATGCACACACACATGCACACACTCGCATGCACACACACACACATGCACACACTCACACACACTCACACACTCGCACACACACTCACACAGACACACACACTCGCACACACACAGACACACACACTCACTCGCATGCACACACACACTCGCACAGACACTCACACAGACACACACACACACACACACACA